GCAGTGCTTTTGGGAAATTAAAGCATCCATGTTAGTTAATGTTACATCATGTGTCGGAAGAAAGAGACGCACTGCTGGAACAAATTGTATCGTGTGCAAAGGGGCAATGTTTTGGCAAAGATTGCAGTCACTTACATAATGTTCACAGTACGATTCTCTCCACATGTGACCTATTAACTGAGGTCCCTTTTGTGATGGTGGCTCCTTGATGCATTATGCTCTGTTCGTAATTCCAGAGAAAAAGATAGCAGGCTAACTTGACTTGTTGCATGGACCAATAAAAAGCCCCCCTCCCAATTCATCCCGACCTTGAGGGACCATATTGTCTCTTGAAGGCTATTGGCAAACTACTGTTCAATTGGTACTTAATTTCTACTCTAAAATACTGTCCCCGATTAGATCATTCTAAATGAATTCCTCAAAATGATCATGAAATATGGTAAAAATGAATAGTTTCAAGAAAGTTACCTGGTTTTGGGGGCAAAAAACAATTTATTAATTCGATACGACCTCTTTATGTTTTGTTAAATCGCCCTCAGTATTCCGTGACAGGATAATCTAGACACTGATTTGGAGACCAAGAAATACGAATCATAACCAAAATCATTTTTGCATCGAGGTTACAGTACTTGTGAAGTCGAAACGGATTCGATTGAATATTCTCCTTTGCATTAAATCATTCTAACTGAACCCATCCAATTTCAAGAATGTTGTTTTTCAGGGATTATTAGAAAAATGACTGGTGAAAATAGGAAAACGACTTAGTTCGAGTATTTAATGGAGTTAGAATATCAAGATTTGACGTCACCTCAAAACCAGGCAAATTGTACTGTTCACCATCTCACTTTCTAATTTTGAACCGTGGAATTATTAATCATATAACTCAGTGTCTGTGGATGATTTGATATAATTGAATAGTTGTTCATATCATTGTGTCTCTTCTTCTTGCCAACTGGTAGAATTTGGCTGAGACTGACCAACTTTTAGAGAATTAACGAATTCAACTTTTTCATTTAAAGTGTGCTCAAACGAAGTACGCAATGTGATGACACTTTACTATTGGAAAGTTTTGAAAACCAATCACAGTTTTCAACTTCCAATTTTTCACTTGCATCACTATGTAAAATAAAGCGAGAAATCCTAATTTGAGAAATTAAATGTACTTTAAAAATTTCAACCATCATTACAAAATAACATCGTTTGAAGATCATTACAGCAATAAGTGCATACAAAATTCCTGAAGTTTGCTATATTCCTTGCTTTCAGGCTTGAGTCAAAGTATTCCCACACGGCTTGGAGATATTAGTACTCCTTTGTAAACTCATCTAATGCTCCGAAAGCTCTTTATCCCTCCTTTACAACACTTTAATCACCATTACCAACTTTCCTCTTCCTAATTTTCTTCTCATACTCTCATTTGACTATTTGAAGTCTCGAATATCTATTTTTGCAAAACACTATCGCTCCTCCCATAGGAAACATCGTCATCGGCAATTGTACTATGAAATTTTGCAAATGAGGGTATGGTATCCGAAGATGCTTCTGACCATACTTCTGACAGAGCTACCAGTCCTCCTATCGAAGGGGATTTACGCGATTTGCTCATTGACCAATTGGTCGACCGAAAACTGAATAATTCATTTAAGTGTTCTGCCAATTATACATACGGATAATTCACCACGCGCCAACTGCAGTCGTGCTATCTGGTTCTCCTCCAGCCTAATAATTTTTTCCTTTCTTGACCTCATAACGATTGTTGCCGAGACTCGATATTTTTAGTTGACCTAATGAAATTAGATTTACATTAAAACCACTTCGCAAGCACAATTAAAACGAACTCATTTTATAGTGTGAGTACTAGTAATTGAGCCATTATTTATGGCACTATCGGTAATATTCAATTAAATTGAATACTGATGACTTCATTTCTTATACTTGTAATTTCGTGTGCAAAATTATTGCAGACGAGTAATTGATTTCATTTTAACAGCACTACACTAGCAGACAGTAGTATGTCGAGTGAGCAAGCACTTCGTGGAGTAAGTTCACAGATTCCACCAACGAATCAAGGCTACGTCGAATTGCTGGAACACATGCTTGAAGAGAGGTGAGTGACACTTAATCTACAAAGGTATTGAGAGCATTTGTCGTGATTCGAGAATAGCATAGGAAGAGTGGGTTAGTGAGTACAATTTTGACTTCACCTCCTCAGGCCCTGAGACTTCACACACCTTGAGACATTTCGATCCGTAGTCAGGGAAATTTTATGGCGTTTGGGCAACATAAACGTTCATTTTTGTGGGTTATTGTATAATATGTGAGATAAATGACTTGGAGGGTAATTTATTTATTTATATATATCAAATGGCAGGCGTTTTGATTGTTAGTATTTTTATTTATTTATATCAAATGGCAGGCGTTTTGATTGTTAGTATTAGCCCTTTAGTTGACTTTTGACTTCACAGAGGGGAAGGAACATCAAAGTGAAAAAAGGTTGAGAGGGGGGTGGGAGAACAGAAAAGTGCTTCGAAGACGAAGGTAGAAAAGGTAGAAAAAAGGTGAGTTGAGTACTATGGAAGAAGTGGAGGTAAGTCTATCGCACACCCCAACTTGGTGGGTAAATCGTCTCCTGTCCATCGAGGACTCCGAGATTCATCAAGTGGTTTATGTCTGATGGTGGGTTGCTTCAGAGGAAATCACAATTTGATCCTCATCGAGTGAAAGATGTAATAATTTTCTCTGATTAAAAGGGACAAAATGAGGGGTAATGAAAAGCTGATTGGTCAAGAGGCATGAAACCAAACGAATTGATTTATCTACTTGAGAATCGCAGCTGATAGCACTCGTGTCTTGCACGTGTATGTGCCATGAGGTGAGATCAACACCCATAGCAATGGTAGTAGCTACTTCTTCAGAAAAGTGGTTTAGGGATAACAGCTCTCCACTTTCAAAGTACCTTGATTACTTTCCAAAGGGAAAATAGTAGATTGATTTGAGTAAATGTCACCCTTCTTAATCCACTAAAACACCTTCCGAACGATTGTGTTCATTTTATTGGGGACAGCTTTGCCAAGATGCTGCCGACACTAAAGCTCTATATGGATGCCCTTGGCAAGAATCTTGAGTTAATATCAACTTTGGGGCAATATGAAGTCTCGACAAATGACACAAAGTACCAAGTTCTCTTCTTCCTTCAAGATTGTAGAAAATTTATCGATGTTTTGGCTGACGTCAACCCGACTATAAAAATCATTCGAGATGGTCTAAGAATTTTTGGAGAAATAGAAGCCTTCGCTCCAAACCATATACGCGATTCGATTCAGGTAAATAGTTGCTCTGACTTAATGTCTCATTTCGAAAGCACATTTCAATCGAGGACACACAAATGCATTTTCTCCATTTCTTTGTGGAGCCTGAGTGATCAAACAGACGATAACGGGTGGCAGTCTAGATTTCTTGAGTTGCATTTATTAGATTATTATTAATCGGTTCATTTTTCTTACAGTTACATCGAATACATAAATTACTCGAAATCATCAATACATGTTTAAACAAACTTCGTCAATAATCTACAATTTGGGAAATGGATTTTAAAGTATTCATCCAGTTTCAGCGCTAAGGTGACTGTCATGCAATTTTACGCCAAATATGCGTGCGAAATTCGAGCTATCTCAACATTTCATGAGTCTGCGAGGTTTGCCCAAATAACTTGCCTTCTACTGAAAATTGAAAATATTGACAATGTAATTGAGGAGAACGTGAGTCCTGAGAAACTGGAATCAGTGCGTTATTTGAGAAAGTTCCATGAAGTGCTAGTAAATGAAGCCCACCAACCACCAATGTACAGAAGTACAAGCGATACAATTAAATAAACAAAATACATTTATTTTATCGGTACTTTCTGCGCTTTTTAATGTGTGAAATGATATTTTATGAAGTCCAAGGTCATAGAGCATGGCCACTTCTTTACCCCATTTGATGAAACTTAATTGCGTTTCAGTGAGTAGATTGCTGCATATATTTCGAAAATGGTCACTGATATCAAGCGTAAATAATAATTTTAAAGATTGTATGGCAAGGCTCTTTTATACAACTGTAATGAAGACTGTCAAATTTAATGATTGCTCAAGATTGACTCAGTTTCGTGCAGTTGTTCCACGAAGGTCTGGTTAATCAATAAAGTAATAATCACCGTATTGCTGACGTATAGAGAACAGTGTTTAACCTATCTTGTGACACTTCTCTTCAACCCCAAACGATTGTCAAGGTGTCAGGAATGGTTTGTTCCAGTAAATCGATATGGGCAATGTGTGACTTAGACCCTACATGAGGAAATTTCTCATCCTTCAAGAACTCTACTTCTTTATCCATTTCATATTCATATGTATAGTCAGAGTCGCAATATATGAAATCATGAGTCCGAAACCCAGTGGCACAAACCCTGTAATTTTATTTCAACATTAATTCCAAATCACCAACTAATATGTGAAATTGGGATATCCGATAGACTTTCCTCCACGTGGCAACGTATATTTATACGGCAAAAAAGTCTGTAAACCGACAGTCGACTTCTAACTTCAAACTAACATGACCCCGGTGTATGCATATTACACCACTATACGGTACTCACAATACCATTTCTCTGCATTTTATCTGCCTATCTCTTTTACATCCTTGAATCACTCTTTTGTTTCCCATCTCAATTTTTTCTCACTCTGATGTTCCCCCCACCCCCCACTGTGGAGCCCGAAGTCAGCTAAAGGGCTAATGATAATTATCATAACGACTGCCATTTGAAATATATTAAAAAAATATGCAAAATTTTCAAATTACATTTAATTACCTACAGATGGGTTGGTGTGTTCATATGAATAGATCGTTTTCAAGGTGCTAGTGATATTGCCTATGACCTACGAACAGCTTTTGGTAAAAAATCCAAGTTGTTCTCTACTTTTTCTCAATTTAAGGCTTTGATGGAAACTTCTCAATTTTCCACAATATATTGCAAATTAGACTACTTCACTGAATGCTGACAAGTTGAGAATTAGATTTGAAATAAGATACAGGTCAATTTGAGCTAGCAGGGATTTGGCGCGTCCATTAGTTGGAAGTTAATTACATTGCTTATAACTGCTCATTGATTAGTTCACTGGTTTCCCAGTATCAGAGTCATGAGACGACAAACAAGTTGGAATACTTATCGAGAATGCAATTGAGTCCACATGCTAAATGGAGTTTGCCCCACCTTTCTTTCATCAGGCTAGTTCTTTCATTTTGACAAATTTCAACTTCAGCTTCATATTAACCACAAGGCAGAAAATTATTACTCGTTTTCCCAATTTCTCCCTTATCCCACTCCCTCTTCCATTTCTTTGGAGGGCTTCCATTTTCATTTTACTCTCCCTCCCAGGAATGACAATATAATTATCCACATAGTCTTAATGAGAGTCAGTAGTTTTGTAGGGTGTTGCTGAACAGCTCTCAAACCAAACAGTAAAGATCCAGTTCAACAATTCCACAATGATTCATAGTTGATAATTTTGATGAGTCATTAGGAGAGGGTTTGCGAGCATAAGGTGGATTCAAAAATAGACAAATTAGGTGGCAATGATGAAAAGGCCCACTGTGATGAAATCGAAGGAGGAACATGAAGACGAATGGGTGTGGTAATGAGTAAGAGTGTGAGACGAACAGATCTCTATTGATCCAGATAATTGGGTGACACTGGGAAGACCAGTTTGAGTTCGTTGTCAGCAGAACGAATGGGAGTTGTACTTCGAAGATGGAAATCTATCAATTCTTGGATGCTACTGAATATCCTATCCTTAGTTCGCACCTGCAATGACAAAAAAATTCGTGTAAATAATAAATAATGAAGTTGCATAGGTAGCCAAATGTAAGGTAAAATTGGGATTCAAGTCTACAAGAACCGAATTGTAATCATATTTACTTTACTGTGTAATTCGAAATTAGAAAAATAATGAAACCAGGTTGGTCTAGTTTTTGATAGTAGTTTCAAAGTTCAGTTAGAAGTTCACTTTTAAACACTTACCTTAGAGGAGAAAAAGGTAGCAAATATTTTCCTATCAATGAACTTTCGTTTGCCATTCATTCATTGACCAATAAAAACTGCATGCGCGTTAGCCAATGGCGCAAAAAAGGTAGGTTGTAGAAAGCTATGTGGAGACTGGTCATTTACCTCCTTCAATGAACTTGTAAAGCCTCATTTCCAAGTGATTAAAGCGAAAGGTTTCAAGTGTGAGGCTGCCAATTTCCAGCCACTTTTAATCTCATTAAAGACAAGAATGGTAAATAAGTCGCATGGTATGAATTTCTATGCGAGTCTCCACAAGGTTTGTTTCGAAAAAGTAGCAACACATATTCTTCTAGGCTGAAAATATGCACAAGGCTCAAATAACATGGCCCAGATCTCTTCATCCTCGTGTGCAGCTATGCAACCACTTCTGCAAATGGAGTCATATATACCGTGCATTGGAATTAAGAGGACACCTTCTGATAGGAGATTAAGAAAAGGAGGCAAGTTATTCTTGAAATCGAAACGGTGTTTACACTATCCGCCATCATGAAAAGAAAATTCAGACAGATACTGACTACGAATAGACACAATTTTGGGTTAATGGAGCTTGATTGCACGTCATGTCTAGAGAGAACACACTATATAAACAGAGTCTATGATTTATTTGATCGAAAAATACCCTCAACCGCACTCACGCATACCTCACAGCAGGCTGATGCCTCCGACGTGATGAGTTTTGGTGGCATCAAGCAAAAGGCATAGACACTTATTGAACATTCTTCAAAGAGCAAAGGTGTCTTCTGTTACGAGTCTAGTACCAAATGAGCTTATTTTCAAAGGGAGCAGTACGACTCTGAGGCCATTAAAGGCGTAATAATAATTTTTCTAACAATTCATATCAATTAAAGCAAAAAACGGCGTTGAAAACAAAGTCTCTTATTTACGGTTGAATTTTTCGTATTTGATGTCTTGAATTTTGCTTGCACCGATTGAAAAGAAATCAATTTGCAAGTCTTCCAAGTCAAAGACCACCGTTTCATTGCTTGCCAGTGCACAAAAAACAGCTAATTGTCCTAATTTCTGTGGCATAAATTAATCACAATTCACTATGCTTTAATTACTATCCTCTAAATTAGACCCTACCCTCCTTTCGCCACTTCCCCAACACTACTTCAAAACGGCCAATTTTGCCGCCATCAAATCGATGTCTCAAATGGGCTCACCTTCTAGCCTACTGCGTACTATTCCAAATCGATTCGTCAACTTCTATTTTTAAGAGGGGAGAAACCAGGCCGAAAGCTCCTTGCATCTACAGCAAGTTGGAGAGAATTTTTCGAACCAGAAAATTAATCGGAGACTCGAAAACGGTAAAAAAAGAAGGCTGATCCAATGGAGATGACTGTGAACGCGTGAAAGATTTGGGAAAAATGCGTTAGGTATTTGATTGATCAACCTTGGAACATGATCTGTCGCACTATCATGCAAGATTGATCGACATTCTCGACGGTCAAGGAAAATGAAATGAAATAAAAAGAGGAAATAGGAGAGAGAGAGAGAGTGTGTGTGTGTGTGTGTGTATACCTGTCCTTCCGGATTGATTAGCAGCAGATGTCGTTTCTTGCCATTCTGCATACCCGAGAGGACAAACTGGTTGGGCTGCTGAGTGGATGCCCGCACAAGAAAGTCACCGTCGTATTGCAGCAGTGCTTCGGCCTTTTGTCGTGTGATTTGACCCACGTACCAGGGCTCACCCACTGGTTCAAGAGGACGAACACTCTCCTTGATCTCCACTGAAGATTGTGCGCAATTTCCATTTGAATCGAATGGTAGTGGTTGGTCTGGATCCTGGTGAGACGGGGGTTGTGGATTAGAGGAAAATGCGACCCAATTGGCAGGCTGAGAGGAGACGGGTGCAATAGGAGGGTTATCTTGAAGCAGCCCTGGAAGGTAAAAGTCCTTCGATTTATGACCCATGGATAAGCAATTAACTTCTGAACCCACATCAATGTATCTTTAAAAAGTATTGTTGGGCTTATGGCACAATTGCTTCATATTCGCAGTTCAATTAAGATCATTTTGCCATAAGGTCGTAGCAAGAATATACTTCAACTTTCTCTTTGTATTTCTGGAATTACTATCACAAACTAACTACTTAAAAGACAATATTAGCATTTTTACTCACAAGCAGAGTCCTCAAACTTATCGTGCGAACCCTGACCATTCACATTGCGGGCTTTGGATTGTGGGGCGAACCAAGGATCCACTGGTACGGGAGGAGACTAAGAACACAGAGACAAAGGAAAGGAGAAAATGGAGTAAAAGGAGGAAGCTCACTTTGAGGGAAGACGACTGAGATTGCAATCCAACTTACAGGGGCTTGTGGGAGTGGAGGATCAAGATCATCGATCACGGGTCGAGGAGGAGGCTGGGGAGCAAAGTCTTGCGTCTGTAGGGTCTGTTTGAAGCCCTGAAAAGGTAACTTTATTGGTTCACTTTCATTAATATTATAGTCAAGTCGAATGTGAAATACAGTGGGGTGATGGTAGTTTGAAGTCGAAAGTTAACTGCCGAATAATAGACATTTCTGCCGTATGAGAATACGTTGTCCAGGGTGTACCACGTGGAGGTAAGTCTATCCCACATCCCTCCCCCCCCCCTTATAAAGTAATGATTTTTCTTATTTTTTGTAGTGTCCTTATTTCTAGTCTCAAAAAATGTCAAGGTTGGGATGTTGAGAAAATATACATATTGACTTTAACCTCAGCCAAACAACTAGACAACTCAATTTCTGTACAAATTAATTGGAATGACAAGACAGTCAATAAGGAAATATGGGCAGAAAAGTGTGTGGTTTGAGTTGACTATTTCATTCTAACTTCCAATACAAGTTTTAACAAGAACAATCAATTATTGTGACGAAACAGACAGGTTTTCATTTTCCTTTCGCATAAAACCAAGAACATTCTTCTCCCCAACTAATTGTTCCGGAATGATTTGAAGATGGCGGAAATCAGCCTCCACACTATTGAAATTCGTGCTGTTCTAGATTCGCACTCTCATTTGCTATCTAGGCGAATTCAAAGCTTATCTCTACTAGTAACAATCTTCAAAAAGCTATAAATTGCGAAAATAACCGGGAAATTGGAAATAAAGTTCATTTGAGGTACTTGTCGTCTTCGAACGAGAACAAACCTTGGCAAAAGTGTGAACCACTTCAACTTGGATGGCTTTGAAATTGGCAATAAAATCCATTCTGTATGACAAGTTCTGACAACTATCCACGCATTTATACAATTGATCGAAGCCACTTTCGGAAGCCCCAAATCCTTTCACTTCTAAAGATTTAGAAGTGAAAGGATTGACAAAATCACATTGTGATCCGATGGGGTGTCAGACTGTCACAGTAGGCCCGTTTTCCTGGCCTTGGCTGAGTCAGAGGAACATAGACATTTTGACAAAATCACGTTAACTCCCCTTTCAAGTATTTTAATTCGTCTCAATAGTTATTTCCACAAAACATTTCCTGCAATTCATGACACTATATTGACGTGCTTTATATATAAGGTAACCACCAGTAAAAATTTCATGTGTAAATTGTAAATGTTGATATTTCCGTTATAAGTTAGCTTTCAAGATTCAATTTGAAAACTTCTATCTTCATCAGATTCATTGGACTCTAAGCACGTACCTTAGCCTCCCTTACTAAATTTTTGAAAGAGAGATAAGACACAGTAGAGCTTGGAGGGTTATAATAGCGGTAAAGAGAGCACGCACTTTATACCCCAGTTTGAAGGCCTCTCCAATACTGGAAATGAAGTCTCTTGAACATCCCCCACTGCAATAGAACACGTAGCATCTCCGACCACCACCACCACCGTCAGCATGTCCATTGGTGCCCTTTTCAACAGCTCCTTCGGCATTCTCATCTGCAGGAGACGTTGATTTGGCCACGTAGCTGACAAAATCCACCATATCCGCATCACCCGAGGAAGAGAAGGAGATGGAACTCAATTTGTGTTGGAATAGAATCTAAGGTGGGATAAAAAAATGGAAGCTTCAAAGAATGGCCGAATGAAATTACAACACATGATAATGACTGAAGTCCCAAATCCTCACTCTCTAACCGCAAAATTTTGATTGGTGCAGAGCGGCAACAAATGAAAACATGTTTTGGTGACCAATTGCAATTAGTATAAATTGCTTTCACTATCGACTTCGACACTTTAACTACACACACTTGAGTTAAGTTAGGGGCATTTTGCCACAGCGCAACATGCTTCTAGGCAGCGTTGAAAAACACCCTTACCGGATTCTCCATCACTAGGGCCTTTTTAAGTCAACAATCACAGCCGCCGACAGGAACCAAAATGGGTCAAGTCGAGAAAAGTGGTCGGGGGCGCGAAGAAAATCGTTATCGTAGTTGACCCGACGCGACCCAAAAATTCAATCCCACATTCGTAAAAAGTCACATTCAATCGCAAAGGCACTTCATACAATGAGGTGAAAAGGTGGAAAACAATGCCTCTCTAATACTGGAAATGAAGACTCTTGAACACCCCCCATTGCAATAGAATACATCGCATCTCCAAATTCGACAAATGTCGCGTTCAACCTCTAAGGTTCAGGATGTGAGATTGACTTACCTCCACGTGGTGCACCATGGGCAACGTATACTCACACCTTACCTCCACGTGGTGCACCCTGGGCAACGTATTCTCATTCGGCTACCTCCACGTGGTGCACCCTGGGCAATGTATACTCATACACCTCCACGTGGTGCACCCTGGGCAACGTATACTCACGATAGACTTACCTCCAGGTGGTGCACCCTGGACAACGTATACTCAAACGGCACGTGGTGCACCCTGGGCAACGTATACTCATACGGCTCCACGTGGTGCACCCTGGGCAACGTTTACTCATACGGCTCCACGTGGTGCACCCTGGGCAACGTATACTCATAAGGCACCACGTGGTGCACCATGGGCAACGTATACTCATACGGCAAGTAAGTCTATTACCTGGCAGTTGAGTTCTGACTTCAAACTACTATGACCCCACTGTATGTCATATTCGACTACTTCCACAGTACTCACCTCACCTTTTTCCACTTTTGTGTCTGTCTCTTTTACATCTTTGAAATACTCTTCTGCCCCCCTCCATCTCGACCTTTTCTCTTTGATGTTCCTCCTCCTCCTCTGTGAAGCCTGAAGTCAACTAAAGGGCGAAAGATAACTATCAAAACGCCTGCCATTTGATATAAATAAATAAATAACCCCTAAGGTTCATACAATGAGGTAAAAATGTGGAAAACAATGTTAACAATTGTGTGCGAATACTGGCAAAACACGATGCATTTCTCTAAATACCTATAGATCGAGGGCTTGTGGCTGAAAATAATATAAGTAAGAAAGCATATTCTATAATTTAGGCAGCTCTTGGCTAATCATAAAGACCAACTCAAAAATTTCCGTTTAAATGTAATATTTCAATTAGAGAATAGTGAAAATTGTTAGGCCAAATGTGAATAAAAACTCGATCCCAATTCATCTCAACTTCTAGTAGAAACTAAAAAGATGGCGAATTGCCGAAAATAGAACTATCACTAACTCAACATGGTTAGTGAGTGAGAGATGTGAAGTACGAACTGGTTGGAGGTGTGGCCGAGTGCGTTCACGGACACTCGCAAACGTATACATACACACTGGTGTAAACACGAGTGCGTGCGTAGATGCGAAACAGAATGCGTAAACGCTCATGTATGTGGTTAAAATAAGGCTTTGAGGTTCGAGTGAGAAGAGGTTCCAAAGATCATGGAAAGAAATTAGCATTAATTAGGAGAAAGCTAACATTCGCGTTCACTTAATGGAAGGAAAGATTTGCATCAAAGTCACTGTTTCATTATTTCATGTTACCATTTGCAATGCGGCCACTTGATGTTGGAGGGAGATAATAATAAACGTCGCGCATTTTGGGCAAAAAATCATAGCAAATAAATCGTTGAAAGGCTATGCAATGATTTTAGTTCATGTTAAACTTAACAAATCTCCCTTGGCAGTAAGATGACAAACAGCTTTGACTTGAGCCAAAAAACCTGAGCTCACGCCAACCAGCGTAAAGTAGAACTTAGAATTTGCCTAAAATTGCAGATCTCGAGATAGCCCTTCTTTGCCTTTTCTACTGCATTGGAAACGATCATTGAAATGCGCGATGTCTGATAAATCGGGGTGAATTTTAAGGGGGTTTAAAACAAAATCACACATACTTAATAGTTTTACTCTTTACTTGCTTATTAGTGTTACATAAATTGTAAGCAAAGGTCATCGCCAGATAAAATTTCGTTCAAATTATAAAGGTCGGCTAAA